CATCTAAGCAGCAAAGGGCCCGCGCATCAGCTCGAAATTCAATTATTTCGCACCCAAGTCGGTCGCCCACGGCCACGGCCATGGCCACGGACACCATTTGGCGGCAACAGCTTCATTCGGCCTGGTCCGGCATCCCAGTCTAGTCATCGTTTCGTGGGCGTCCCTCTCAGTTGCCCCGTAGACACCGACAGCGAGAGGGTATATTGGTTCTGGGGCAGTTTATGAAGCGTCTACGGAAGCGTGTTCCTCCTTCTTTGCGGGCCCGACACTCAATTACTGGAGAGTGGACTCCAGTCCACTTTGAACGGCCTGTTTCCATGTCTCTATCTAATTTGGGGGTTCCTCAACGCCCCATCTCCATCTCCGGCATCCTTAATGCACTTTTAATGCCCTGCCCTCGCATTTGTATTTGTTTTATTGGTAAGCAGGAGCAGGTCGGTTTCCTGCATTTGAGTTCTTGGCGGAAGTCATGCCTCGCTTTGTGAGAAGGGGCTGTGGCTGTGGCTGTGTCTCTTCATTTTCGTTTCTCTAGGCGCCGCTTGCATTACGCCCACCTTGAGGCAACTGCTCCGATTACACAAAGGCCCTGACCCCTTCCGTTCTGGTAGAACTGGCGGCGCCACAGCCACAGCCACTGCAATTGCAATTTTTAATTACCTGGGCCCTGGCGCTTTTCCGCGTTTATTTTCCCGATCTCATTGCTCCCAGCGGACCTCACTCTTTTGTTGGCTAATTAAAAACGAATTATCGCATGTCCATGACTCAGAGACAAAGAGAGAGAGAGGCTGCTGCTGGTTTATGCGATGCGAAATTCCGATCCGCCACTAAAATTGTGAAATTGTTAGATTTGTTGGGCCATTAGTACCCAGATTAAGTAGTTAGAGTCAATTATTTAAATTAGTTTTGCCGTCTGCAAAGATCTGCAGTGGTCTGCCCTCCTGCACCGAGATCCGTTCCAGATCCTTGCCGGCTAATGGCCTCGTAGGCAGAAAGAGAAAGAGAGAGAGAGAGAGAGCATTTAAGCCGATAATTCTGTGGCATCCTACACATGTTCGACGGTAATAAGATTTTGATTGCCCGCCATGGACCGGATCGGCCTGGCTGGTGCTCGGCCTGAAAATTATGCCACATCGAGAGGCCGAAGCGCACCAAACTAAACCAAAGCAGTGTGTGAGTGTGTCTGGGGCCTAATGCCAGGTTTTTGCTTTCCACCAGCCTCGAAAGCAGCCCTGCGGGTCCATTAAGCCGACTCAAAGAAGAAGAAAGAAAAAAACAGCCCGACAAGGGGCGCAAAAAACAAAAGACTTTAGCCACAAACTCGCTCCAATAGCAGCACATGGCAATTATGTTTGGCAATTGTTTAGTGTTAGTGCTGCTCGGGTCCATCTCGTCAACGTCCATCCGTCCGTCCATCTGGATGATGATGATGACGGCGATGGCGATGGCGATGGAGAGGGCGTGGCCCGACTCGGGATCGGGTCTAGTCCAGTTCTGGCCATGGACGACATGCTAGCCCACTTTTTAATATACGAAGAATGCGAATACGAATACGAGCAACAATTTAGATTTTTCCATTTGCGCTGCTTTCAGGCTCCCACAAGGTGCACTGCTCGGAGGATCAGATGAGGGTGGACATTGGCCTGCTGGCCGCTGAGAAGGACCAGAGCGCACCACAGATCTACCTGGAGGGTCTCAAGGGCTATCCGGATGAGCGCTGCCAACCGCAAATCGACGGCTCCCTGGCCGTCTTCCGGCTCTCGCTGAGCGACTTTTACGAGTGCGGAGTCACGCGCATGGTCAACCAGTTAACGGTGCGTCCCGGCCATAGATACATAGATAATTTCGAATCCGTAACTCAATTCCACTCCCGTCTCTTCCTGTCTGTAGGGCAAGAAAGTGTACTATCATAAAATCATCATCGAATCGGCCAGCAGCAAGGAGATCGTCAGCGTTAAATGCATCACCACCACGAGCGGTCCCGTCTATAATGTCATGATGAATGCCACCACCACAACCACCAGCACCAGCTCCAGCTCCAACTCTGGCCGTGGCCTGGTCAAGCGCGATGTGCTGCCGGCGGGTTTCCAGGAACCAGAGTGAGTTTTTGGGCACCCGCTTTTGCTCCAGCTTCCGCTGCCACTGCCACTGCCACTGCCGCTGCCACTGCCACTGCTGTCTTCTTTGCAATTTAATTGCCCATAAAAAATAGCATCTATGCATATTTTTATGAGCAATCTATGCAAAAGTTTATGGCATATTAAATGCCCCATTTCAGCCCAGAGACTAGGATGGGTCCAACCCAAAGGGCCATAAATCAAACATATCCCATGTCTCCCCGCCACCCCCCACCTCCCACTCCCAGTCTCCCAGTCTACCGGTACACCGGAGAGTTGCCATTACCAGGAGGTAATTAGCCGCCAAATCGATGCCGGCGGCTTCACATGCGTTAATACCTCCACAGTCAATTTAATTGCGGGGCGTGTCCAGGTCTCTGTCTCTGTCTCTGAGCCAGCCTCTCCTCCCATCGGAGGATCCGATCCAATACAATGTTTGTTTTTCATTGCCCGGCGTTGATTTACAACCACCTTTGGCGGGAGTCCCTGTCTGTCGTTCCCCGTTCCCCCGTGGCTGGGCACAGTCGGCACCAGCTCAATCTCAATCAAGAGAACTGAACCAGTTCATTCAACTGTTTTGCAGGGATCTGGAGATCACCACGTCGCTGACCAAACGCGCCCCGGAGCCGCGTCTCTCCATTGGCGTTAGCCAGGATGGCCAGAAGTTTACCAGGGATTTGACAGTCAAGTCGGTAAGTTGTAGAGAAACACTGTAGAAAATGATTTAAAATACATTTAATGCGAATACCATTCGAAGGGAACTCCTTTGACCATGGAAATCAACCTGGATGAGGATTCGGCTCCTGTTTATGGCTTGGGTGTGAACTATCTGGATGTTACGGACACGCACACCTCCTCGGAAACATTGATCTTCAAAGGGTAAGAGTGTGGGTCCCGGACAATGCCTGACTCCCTCCATAACCCTTTTCGCCTTTGCCCCTAGCTGCACGGTGGATCCGTATCTGTTCGAGAACTTCAACACGATCGACGGCGATATTTTGAGTGCCAAATTCAAGGCCTTCAAGTTTCCCGACTCCTCGTACGTGCAGTTCCGAGCCACGGTGAACGTGTGCCTGGACAAGTGCTTGGGCACGCAGTGCTCCAACAACCAGGTGGGCTTCGGAAGACGCAAGCGGGAGATCAGCTCCGCGAATAAGGTCTATGAGATTTCACTGGCCATGTTCCTGCAGGTCAACGACATTGAGGGGGTCAACAAGAGTGAGTTTGTGAGATTGCCTTTCCACTGCGAAAAACCCCTGCTAACAGTCTCCTGTTCTCCGTGCTCTCCCCCACAGATGAGGTCCTGCAGCTGGAGGAGAAACTGCGGGAGTTGAAGCTGGCCAATCAGCGCCTGGCCCGCAACAGTCGCGGGAACTTTGTTGGCAGCTCTGTGGAGCAGACGCCTGCCAGTGCCGTGCCCGCCTTTGTGGTGGACGAGCGAGAGCTAGGACATCTCAGTTCGGGTTCGGCTTCGGATACGGCCGGTCTGTCCTTGGCCTGTGTTTGGACGCTCCTCTGTGCTCTGAGTTGGCGGCTGATGTAGAAAACATTGGCACACACAGGGACGGAACGGAACGGGACCGGACAGGGCGAGTTGTAAATCTCACAAGTGGTAGGGCGAGCGGAAGAGTGAGGAATGTTAATCAGGTTGGAATGAAATTGCGTGCAGTGGCAATGAAGGAAAGAAGGAATATTAATGTACTACCTACTACTAATATACACCTATACTTTGTGTAACTGCCATTTACAAAACGTAATTAACTTTAAATGAATGCGGTAACTTAAGTTTTCAACGACTTGTGGCAGGCGGCAGACATTGCGACAGACAGACAGACAACAGTGATTCTTATAAAAATACACACACACTTACATATAAATATACATACACATATACAGATTTGGAAAACTTGAACTCGGTCTAACTCATAAGCACCTACTAGTCTCCTAAGTGTAACTGTTAAGCTAATTTAAATAACGACTAATTGATTAAACGAAACTCTGATCTAACAATGTCTTTGTATGTGTCACGCTTTGGTTGGTTTCTTTGTGGCGCTCTGTATGGCCTCTAAAATTGTTGATTCTCCGATCTGAGATAGATGGCCATTCGAAAAGTCCACTAAATCAGTTATTTCCAAACAACAAACATACGAGCATGTCTGGCTTATGATATGCCCATGAGAGGACAAAGTGCCGCACACTCTCAATGCAACAATTTTATGGAGCAGCTCCGCAAATGCGAAAACTGCCAATTAAAATTTCTCTATCAGTCAAAGCAGTTTTGAAAATGTTGGCAGTTATATTTGATCAATAGATATTAGACCAATATTTGGTATTTCCTGTATTTGGTATAATACTGCATTGGTATTTCCGTAAGCTACGGTCATACATTATTGAAAAATATCGATATTTAAGAAAAAACAACGATGATTTTAACGCTAGTTTGGAATTTTTACAATAAATTCTCTATTTCATTTTCAACGGTATATAGAAATCCAATATTTCGACGGAACATCAAAATTAAGCAATATGGTTTCCAATCCTTGACGGAGAACGATTAACCCATTATATGCCAGGGGGGTATTTCAATATTCCACCGAAAATAACAAAAAATTAATCATTTTAGCGCAGTTCAGGTGAAGGCATGCGTAGTTATTTTTAAGTTCAGATGAAAGATGGCATGAATCTACAAGAAGAATTTACATTCGTTATTGTTTTCAGCCATTTACCTGAAGTAGTTGAACTATTTAAAAAGAGGGGGCTGAAGTGGGCTATGTTCGTAAATTATAACTTGAATTCGTCGGTATATTTACGGTATATTTCGGCATATTTTGGTATATTTCTGAGGGTGAGGCCGTATATTCTATCGACAATGACTATATGAAATTAGCAGTCGGCCGCATTTGTCGCAAAATCGAAACTATAAACAATTTGTTCATTTAATTTGCTTAAAGAGTAAGTGGTTTCTCTCACAGACGCCTAAATTCCACATTGTACGTTTCTAAATCGGTTTGCAGCTAGTAAAACGCCGAAAACATGTCTCGCGGAAGTTCAGCCGGCTTTGACAGACACATTACCATCTTTTCGCCCGAGGGACGCCTCTACCAAGTCGGTAAGTGCGCCACCCACAGGTTGCCTGCAACTCTCTAACGATAATCTTTCTCCAGAGTATGCCTTTAAGGCCATCTCACAGGAGAACATCACCACGGTAGCCCTGAAGAGCGGCGATTGTGCTGTGGTGGCTACCCAGAAGAAGGTTACAGAAAAGAACATTGTCCCGGAATCGGTGACACACTTGTTCCGCATCACCAAGGAAATTGGCTGCGCCATGACTGGCCGTATTGGTAAATTGCTTCTGTCCTTTAACCTTCCGCATTAAAGAAATTACGTATAAATCTTTAGCGGACGCCCGCTCCCAGGTGCAAAAGGCCCGATACGAGGCGGCCAATTTCCGGTATAAATATGGCTACGAAATGCCGGTGGATGTGCTGTGCCGTCGCATTGCTGACATCAACCAGGTGTACACGCAGAACGCCGAGATGCGTCCGCTCGGCTGCAGCATGGTGCTGATTGCCTACGACGATGAGATTGGACCCTCTGTCTACAAGACGGACCCAGCTGGCTACTTCAGCGGGTTCAAGGCCTGCTCGGTGGGTGCCAAGGTGCTCGAGGCCAACAGCTACTTGGAAAAGAAGTACAAGAACAATCTGTCTGAGGAGAAGGCAATACAGTTGGCCATCACCTGTCTTTCCACTGTCCTAGCCATTGACTTTAAGCCCAATGGTATTGAGATTGGAGTCGTCAGCAAGACCAATCCAAGCTTCCGCACTCTGGACGAGAAGGAGATCGAGGAGCATCTGACCAAGATCGCCGAGAAGGACTAAGTTCTACCCGCCAGTTGTAATTTTTAAAAATTTTCTAAATACCCGCTAAATGGAACCGTGTTAAAATATAAAAATGCTCTGGGCTTGCATTCAAAAACAAGGCAAACGTAACCAATAGATTTATTCAAGTTCAACCGCCTCAACCCTTCTTCTTGTGCACCTTGCCCCCATAGCGCATGACAAAGGCGTTCACGTCGAACTTGCGCTTGCATCCTTGATAGTTCATGTAGCGAATCTTTCCGAATATCGCACGCTCCTTCCAGCCCATATCGTGTATGCCCCCAATGGACCACATGCAGCCCACATAGCCATTGGGATCGCGCCCGTCTAGGCTGTACTTGTCGTTCAGCAGGATCGCGTACTCCAGCGCCTGCTCCGGCGTGGCCGTCCACTCGAGTATTTTCTTGGCCCAGTACATGCGCAGAAATCCGTGCATCTTGCCCTCTCGCACCAGCTGCAGCTGGGCAGAGTTCCACAGGTCATCGTAGGTGAGCGACTGAAAGACGGAAAGGCTTTCGGTCACATCCATCAGAGTTAGCTACAAATAGCCACCGTTCCTTACCTGTTCGAGCTCCTCTAGAGTGTAACATGGATCACGCTTGTCTTTGCGATGGGCTTCCAAGGATTGGTATGCCCACGGGCTCAGGCCCTTCAGGCTGTCGTAGTTCTCGTTGTAGTAGCAAAAATTATCGGCTAATTCTCGGCGAACGATGGCCTCCTCGCAGTACGCATCCGCCGAGGCCTTGTGCTGGCTGCGATAGCGTTGAACCTCCAGAACACAGCGTTGAGCTGAGATCTGACCAAAGTGGAGCCACGGCGAGAGTCCGGATAGCGCATCAACTGTGGGATCATTGCGCTTGTCGTTGAATTTACCCAAGCGTCGGCTGCAGAACTCGTACAGTTGGAGACAGGCCGCCTTGTAGCCTGGTTTCGCCCACTTCACCTCATCCACGTCCATGTCGCACTCCAGCATCGCATATGCAGCTGGCCAGTCGATGGGTTTTACCTTCTTGCAACCTTCCCCATACGGATGCTTGATCACTGGTGGAAAATCGCTCAGGAACTCTCCCAGCTTGGAGTTTATCTTGTTTCGTATAGTCCTGGCCGCGTACTCCTGCTTGTCGGAGGCCACCCAGAGCGGAACTACGTTGTGAGCATCCACCTGGGTCAGCGGCACGTTCTTGGGCAACGCCTTTGCCACATCCTCCACCCATTTTCGGGGCACGCGAAGCGGCGCAAAGTCACACACCACAGCACCTACATCTTTGGAACGCACGAATTCCGGTAGACGATCCACTGCCGGTCCCAGCAGCAGGTGGAAGGGTATGCCTAGATCCCGACATTGCTCTTCCACCTCCTGCAGTCCGCCCATCATGAATTTGTAGTGTCGAATGGTGGCATTGAGGAACTTCGGCACCAGGCAGAATACCACTGCCAGCGGCATCTCCAACTTGAGGGCCAAACGCTGTGCAAACAGCAGAGCCCAATTGTCCTGCACCCGACCATCCCGTGACATCCAATAGACGACGCCGCCACTGCACTTATCTTGGACATCGTTCACCTTGGACAAGACGCGCACCCGTTTCTTCTTGAAGGGAAACTCCTGGATGTTCGCCGCCGATTCAGATCGCTGCTGCTCTAGGTGTGCGAGAAACTGCTCAAAGTTTTTGTATTCTGGCTTACTTTGGACAAGCTTTGAGCTGGAGGCACCTTCTTCACCGCCACTGCTGCTTTCTTGGGAGCTGCTCGCGGCTGGTTCGGCGCTTTTCTTTTCCTTTTTAGGGGCTTTTTTGGAGGCGCCTGCTGTGCCCGACTTGGCGCGTTTCATGGTGTATATTGGAGCAAGCTGACGGATAAAATTATTAACAAGTAATCCAACAATAGACGAACAGTTTATGTTATTGAAATTTGGGCGCCAATAGGTCGGAATAAACATGACTGCGCGTCGTGGTGGCAGCTCTATCAGCTGTTAAATTCAAACAGGCACTTAGGAACATGGTATTATTGCAAATATGTAGTTTTGATCATGGTAAACATATATTTAATGGCCAGTTAGGATCCACCAACATTTCTTATTGTGCGAAATGAAAAAATCTCTGAAACAAAACTATAATCATTCGCGCCAAGTCAAGGTGGCAGCCCTACTACACGATAAATACAGTTAAATATATATAAATTTATTTAAATATCATCATATTGGATATATATTTACACAATCTGAGCTAAACATAAATACGATACTGAATAAACATTCACTTGCGGAATGGGCTGGGGAGCAACACATAGGTCTCATTCGGTCTACCACAATTTGTCACTGAACACAATCTCCTTGAATATGCAGTCCTGTTTGGCAATGCTCACCATTGCCTTTTTGGACTTCATGGCATCCTGCACCTTTTCTCGCACCTCGGCCGCCTTCACGTCGTTGCGTATGTAGAAGAGGCGGACCAGATGATCCTCTGTGAGGGACGGATAGCTGCCCAGCAAGGTGTGCAGATCGAGGACCAGCAGCTCAATGTCCGAGATGAGCAGCCCGGAGAGTGTGGTGATTAGATCGAGCGGCGAGTCGCTGAGCGATATTTTTGGAGCAATCTTCTCGAAGAAGAGCTTGAAGCGCTTGGCCTCCTGCTTGATCTTTCGCGTGATGGCGTCGCACTCGACGCGCGGCTTGGAGAGGCGTTTGGACAGGAGGGCACGGATGTAGCGCTTGGCCAGCAGCTTCTGTGCCTCGTTGATCACCATCTCAAAGTTATTGGGCCGCAGGTGGTTGTAGTCCTGGAAGTAGTCGTCCAGTGTCACGCATATGGTGTCCACAGACATGCTGCTGGCTAGCCACTTGACGGTGAACAAGTCGTGGAAGTGGCACTCCATGTCCAGGAAGGCCTCCTCCAAAAGGTAGCTGGCGGCGTGCGCTCGGATCCGCTGGAAGGTGGCCAGCAGGCGCTCAAAGTCCTCGTAGTGCTCAGTGCGCGACTTGGGCCAGTAGAGCTGCTTCATCTGCTGCGCCAGCTCCACCATCTGCTGGCTGTTGTTCACAATGGTAATGATGTAGTGCGTGAAGTACTTGATCTGATCCCGGTTCCGGAAGTGGTGCTCCTTCAGCTCGATGACGTTCTTGAGGTAAGTCTGGCCGAAGATCTCCACCTGCTGTATGCTCATTACGAGCGCCTTGAACGTCAGCTCCTGGTGTATGGTGTTTGTGACCTGCAGATGCTGGTCGATCATCTGGAAGATGATCACCGGCGCCGAGGTGTGGTAGTAGTGCTCGTCCTGGTCTGGCACCGTCTCGGAGAACCACTCTACCTTCTCCGTCTCGGCTGCCTTGGTCATCCACTCCTGGTAGTTGCGCTGCATATTCTGAAGATACTCATCCTCTAGAGCCTTGAGATGCTCGGGCCGCAGCAGGGTTCCAATCAACTTGTGCACATCCACATTGAGGTCTGGATGCGACATGAGCTCAGTCCCCGGGTACGTGTGGGTCACCCAGGCCAGCATGGAGACGTACTCGTTGCCCTCAAGGCCGGATCGCACAATTGTGTCCAGCTGGAAGAAAAATGGATTAGATCCAGTGACAAGCCAATCAAAATTGGATTACTTACATAGCTTGAGAGGCCTTCGTGGTAGAACTTGACGTACTCGTTGAATATATCGTAGTGGGGCGGAAAGCAGGGCACGCACAGCGATTTTACCACGCGCAGATCCTCCAGAATGATTTGACGCAGAATCTCCAGGTCGCGGACCAGCCACATCTTGTTGTCCGTCCGCTCCTCCAGCTTGGAGCCCTCGATACGCGTTGCGACCGACGACTGCAGCACGTCCAAGATCATCTTGCGCCACGCCTTCGGGCGACCGGGAGGTAGAAAGCCTGTCACCTTCTGCTGCTGCACGGCAAACTGGTCGTTCTTCTCCTCGCGTTCAATGATGCGGAGAGCAGTCACGATCACGGTTGGCTTCTTGCGTACCGTATTCAGGGTGCGGCTGAGGATCAGGCGCAGCTTCTTCTCTAGCGCCTGAGAGACCGTGTCCACCTTCTCGAAGTGGCGCTTCAGTGTGATCTTGTCCGAGGCATGCTGCTTCGGCTGTTTGTGCAGCTCGTACAACAGATCGTCGCGGGAGTTTTCCAGATCGGCCAGGCACTGGTGGGCATTCAGCAGCTTGTCTTCATCGATTAGCCCCATGGTCTTCTGCACACTGGCGTCCACATTGAAGATGTGCTTCAGGTTCTCCATGGCCGTGGCGTACTGCGAGTGTTTCGTGTTCTCCTCACGGACCACTTCCAATGCATCGTATACTTCGGGCACGCCCTGGAGCAGGTTCTCCACCTCATTCATCCGCCGGCGCACCTCGCGCACATCCTGCATACACGTCTCCAGCTGCTTCAGCCCCACCCGGACGCCGTCCAGCTGGTTTTGCATTCCGGTCTTTAACAACGCCTCCACGGACGCCTTCTTGCGGGCGATCCGGTGACGGTACTGCTCCACTTTCTCCAGCTGCCCCGGCCGCTGCAGCATGTTCTGTATGTCCTTGAGGGCAGCCTGTCGCGCCTCATCCTCCAGTTGCTGCAAATCCATCTTGCCCTGAATTTTTGTTGTTTTTTTCGCAGAAATAAATAAAGTCCAGTACCGACAACACTAGGCTATCGATAGTAACAAGCGATAGCTACATATATCGCCCATCGAATCGCTTTGTTTATTTTCTTGTAGCCAGAAATTTAAACCGAAAAAAAGCCACAAAATGAGCGAAAGTATTCTGCAATTTGCTCCCTGGGAGTCCTTTGTTTCGCCTACATTCTGGCACAAGCTGGCTGAACTAAAATTGGATCACGATCGCCTGTCGGATGCCCAACGTTCCATTTCGGGCCACTACACAAACCGAAAGGCTACGGGCTGTCTGTTGGAGGCGGATTACACATCGTTCAATAGGTAGCATAGGCTTGTGCCACACCCCCCCCTTCCATATTCAACCCGCATCGTTTCCATCCACAGTTCTGGGCAGCCACCAAAGTTCAGCCATGCTGCCGTTGGAACAATCTATAACAAAAACACAATTGAGGAGTTCAAGGCCCTGGACAAGCTGACGCTGTTGTCTGATGAGGGCAAGAAACTGTTAGCTGATATGTGCAGCGACCGGGTGGCGAGTGATCCCAGTCTGTTGACTCGCTTCTTTGTTCTATCCTTTGCGGACCTCAAGTGCCACAGCTATTACTACTGGTTCGCCTTTCCGTGTCCCTTGACGCCCACACTTAAGCTACAGGGAGCCGGTACGAGACTTAAAGATCTGTCGAATAGCAGCAAATATGTAGAAGCCCTGCAGACACTTCCACCCGACGCTCAGAACTTCTTCATCCTGTATGCCAACGATCAAGAGGATGTCGTCGAGGCTCGAAGCTTGAGTTCTCTGGATGAGAAGGAGGTGGAACACTATTACTTTGGTTTTGCCGATCCCAGCGAGTACGAGCATCCTGCTTGGTTGATGCGGAACTATGCCGCCTTTCTGCTGCAACGATAGTGAGTAGTTTAGTCCCTTAATTGATAATTATAAAATTAATATAATGTCATACTCTCATTCGTAGTCCCAGTTTTATTGGGAAATCACTCAGGTTTCTGGGCCTACGTTACAACCAACAAATGCAGATGGACGACAGTCTGATATGGAATGTAGTTCAAACCGAGGCCTGCGACTTAAACGAAACCGAAGATGTGAAATTTGTTGGCTGGGAATTGAACAAAAACGGGAAAATGGGTCCGCGAATGGTTTGCATGAGGGACAGCATGGATCCAGCCAAGTAAGCTGCCAATTGTAGGCATTACTTTTTTACACATTTATACTTTCAATTACAGACTGGCCGAGAACTCTGTAAACCTCAACTTGAAGTTGATGAAGTGGCGCCTGGTGCCAGATCTAAATCTTGAGATTATCTCACAAACCAAATGCCTTCTGTTTGGCGCTGGTACCTTGGGCTGTGCAGTAGCTCGCAATCTTTTGGTATCTACTCATCGACCGTATTATTACCGTGCCATTTACCATTATTGATTAATTGTAGTCTTGGGGCTTCAAACACATAACTTTGCTGGATAACGGAAAGGTGGGATTTTCCAATCCAGTCCGCCAGAACCTCTATACGCACGCAGACGCCGTGGCGGGCAACCGGATGAAGGCCACAACAGCCGCCTTAAGACTACGTGATATAAACCCTTCTGCAGAGACCGTAGGGCATGTGCTGGAGATACCCATGCCGGGCCACACCATCGGGGAGTCGCTGCGCGCTCAGACTGAGCAGAACTTGCTGCTGATTGAGCAGCAAGTGCAGGCGCATGACGTCATCTTTCTGCTCACTGACTCGCGCGAGAGCCGCTGGCTACCTACACTGCTTGGAGCGGCGTATGAGAAGGTGCAAACGAGAGTACTTCGCCCACGTAGAGTAAAAGCGTAACATTCTGACCCTTTCCAGATTGTCATCAATTCGGCGCTGGGCTTCGACAGCTATTTGGTGATGCGGCATGGCAGCAGCCGCGATGAGGCCGGCGACAGTGGGAGGGAAATCGTGGGACTAAAGTGCATCAATGGCAATCAGCTGGGATGCTACTTCTGCAACGATGTCACGGCGCCCGGCAATGTAAGTGGACTCTGTTAACGTTTAACACATTTATTTTCAGACTTCGTTCACTGGTAAAGACTATACAGTCAATGGATTCCGCTTTAGACACACTCGTAGTCGTGGCGCGAGTACTTCTCGAAGGCGGTGCACGTGGGGTCGCCCGTCTGCAGGTGATCCACGCCTGTTATCTGCAACACCAGGCCCTTTATGCAGGTCACTTTAAAGCCCACCAAGTTCAACATGGCGTTGGGCGTGCGCCAGGCATAGCTGAAGAAGTTGAATCCATCCACAGCCGTGAGCACTTCGCGTTCCGTAAAGGCCAGTGCCAGCTTGAACTGCTCATTGAACTTGAACGGAAAGCCCCCATGACGCTCTTCGGCTCCAAATCTGGAATGGTTGTTGGAGTTGTTAGAAAAATGCCGAAACAGGCGATTACTGCGCAGACTTACTCGAAGTTCTTGCCCATGGAGTTTCGCACTACCAGCTGCTCGTCAAAGCGTATGCTAAAGTGCAGCTCCTCGCGCTTGGTGTCCGAATCCATGAACTTGATGATGAACTGGCCCCGCTTGTTGGCGGAACAGCGAGCCGTTAGCACAATCACATGGCCGGGACTGAACAGTATGGGTTGATCGTTGCTGAAGGCTTTGAAGTAGTCCGAGGCGTGTATGGCTGGCCACGGATTGGGGAAGACGGTGCGATGATCCACTTGCCTGATCACCTGTATTTGGTCGCGTATCTCCAGAGCCCGAATAGCACTCAGCGGCATGCGATAGCGGAACGTACAGAAATCCCGGCTGTTGATGGAAATGTGAAAGCTATCCTCGCAGGCCAAGATGTAGACCATGAAGAACTCGCCGCTCACAATGGGATTCGGAAGCGTTACGGTGTCCATTACCGCCGACTCCTCCTCGCCCCAGACGCCGTTCACGCGGGCATTGCGCACTATGGTGTCATTGCGGAAGTAGCAGGAGAAGTGCAGACCGATGTCAGCATCCGGATCCACAGAGCTCTTGGCTGTGGAGAGGTCTATGTGGAACCTAGCGGGGCGAACCATTACAATAGGAGCATTAGTCATATCAGCAGCTAACGATAAGAAAAATGGCTCTACACTCTATTAGTCATGTACTGAGATATGTGTATTCCCGTCAACCTATGCTGATTCGGAGCGGTGCTCACCTGGCGGCTCCATCGATGGTCTTGGCGACGATCTCCAGTACATGCCCAAACTCCAGCGGATGCGACAGGTTTCCAGCGAATTCCGTTAGCATTATTGTCAATGTTCTATTAGAGGTGTCCGCGAATCGGGAATCTAACTTCTCAGGCTCTCAGTTGGGACTATAGCGCCCGAACAAATGAAAACAATATCAAGGTTTCTTTCGGAGAGCGTGTCCAATGGAGAGCCGAAACTTTATCTAATCAGCGGCAAACCCACTCCCAAAGGGGAAAAACAGTTGCACAAGCACTACCAGCCCAAATCGGCATTGCGTTCTCCGCCTGACTTTGTTTTAAATGTACGAGAATTGTTATTAACTAATCAAACAGAAAAGTTGCGCTCTCGCACGCTAAGGTGTCTTACCGAACGGAGGCGGCGGCGGTGGCGGCGTCATCTTTGGTCGCAGGTCCCAAGTTTTCGGCTTCGTTTGTTGACACTGCAAAGCATGTGGAAAAGCTCTGCCCAGGGGGAAAGCTTTCAAGCTTGTTTGTGCAGTTGAGTGAAAGCGTTTCTCCATCTATTTCTGTCTCTTTCTAGTCGCTCAAAGATCGTACTCTGGATCAGCAATGCACTGTGACACGACCCGGCGTCTCCAACATCGCTGCCAGCTATGCCGTGGAGCTGCTGGTGGCTCTGCTCCAGCATCCCCAGCGGGAGCTAGCTCCGGCCTACTACGCCCAAACCGGAAGGCAGCAGTCGAGTGAGGATTCCGGCAAGGTCCCCGAAGGACTGCTAGGCATCCTGCCGCACTCCGTGAGGGGAATGCTCTGCAACTATGAGAACATCCTGCCAGCCACGCAAAAGTTCGCCCAATGCATTGCCTGCTCAGCGGTAAGATTACTAAGCGATTATAAAAATCAATACAGCTGCAACGGGTCCCTCTGTTTTACAGCCAGTTTTAGGTGCCTTCAAGAACGAGGGACATGCCTTTCTCTTTAAAACCTTTGAAACAGCCAAATATCTAGAGGATTTGACGGGCATCTCGGAGTTTAAGCGTTTGAACAGTGAGGTTTGTTCCCCCATTAACCGAATTGGATCCACAGATTACTGCAAATATCCAATTTTATAGATAATCGACTTTGATGATGCCGAGTTTGATATTTCCGAAGATGATGAGGATTAGTACTCCTTCATTCTGAATTTATAGTAATATCTTTTACAAAGCATTTATAGTCCAATGTCTAAACCAAAATGTATGTATTCAAATGCTTTATCTAGTCCTTAAGTAAATTGTTTTCTCTATATCTTTACATCATTTCAAACGATAAAATACAATAGAATGTGGGAAAAAACACGTTTCCTTCGACGCCTTTGCCCTCTGTTTGCACAAATATGTTTTTCTGCTGATAAGAAGCAATCGTTTCCAATGCGCAGATATGGTTCTGATCTGTGGAAAGGCCGGAGAGAAGAAAAATCCCCAAGTTACGGTTCACAAATAACAACATGTGTACATTCTCCGATAATGATGAGTGGAATCATTATTAGATGCATCATTCGACGCAAAAACATCCAAAGAAGATTCTTTTGCGAATCAAATCTGGCTAGAAGTATGCTAATGACTTACAGATGCGCAAAAGAATAATAGTTCATAGGTCAATAAACTAGAGAACGGTAAGATAGAAAGCCACGAGCCCGATGGTCTATGCTAATCAGACTTTCGATGGGGTAAATTTTTTGAGTACAATCGTTGCGTTTGAGCCTCAAAGATGCTAATGATATTCAGATGGAGTTACTTGTATTTACTCGAATTAATCATGTCACTCATTGCTTTAAATAGAGCCAGGCCAAATGTGTCGAGCTAAAGTAAACAAACATAGTCAGCTAACCACCCAGTCCGAGGCCGTAAACATTTCCAAACTCATTATTTGACCCCAGGCCCGGCTTTGACTGATGAAACCCTAACCCAACCCGAGAATGCCATGCCGCTCAAGTGGCAGCCAAAGGCTCTCTCTCTCGCTCATCGAAAATAACAAAACCCCGAAAAGAAGAAAGACAACAGCATAATCAATAACTGAACGAGTGAAATGCGCGGAGATATCTGAGTCGGCAGCATAAATTTTGGTACCAAACCAACTGAGCAAACAACAAATAAAAACGCTGATCCCCGATGCGAAGCTGGCGTTTTGACTCGCGGTCACGAAAAGCGCTCAAAATGCCTTTCGAGCCGCTGGCGCTGCGCCGGCGTCGTCGCGCTGCCGACGAAATGTCGCTCGAATTGCGTTTTGAGTGAAAATGATGTTTTTCAGGCCGTCATTTCCATAAATTGGTGAAAGATATCCACAAAAACCACACAAACCCAGCAGGCGCGAATCCAAGTGGTAGCCGAACACCCGTTAACAACTGAACAGTGCAATCCCGATCCTGATTCCAATTCTTCAACTTTTCAAAGTGTATCCAAATTATACAAAGTGGTTCAATTCCTGTGATTAGTACATACATAAATATCTTCAAAATGGTAAGTCCTGGCTCCAAATCACATTCCCCACGTTGATGCTGTGCTGCAACGTCAGATGACTGCAGTTTGTTGAACTTGAAAATTACCCCCAGCTTCGACAGTTTTGAGGCGATTTCCTATTCAGTTGGATAGACCTTATGTTGACGTAGTTGGTTTCGCAGTTTCTGCTTTGTTATGGCCTCAACCTGTTGCGAAAGTCGGATGCCAAGCTGGCAGTTAATGCTTTGGGCCATTGCAAAATGTGTTATTTTCAAATTCCATTTCACAAAAAGTGTGTGTCCATGATGTGGCACTCGAGCCAAGTCATGTGTACAGGGGCACTGTCCATTAAAAGTGATTACCATACTCTTCAAGTTCAGTTGATGACATTGTTGCACAAATGAAGAGTTTCAGCTGCATTCGTCGTTATCCATCCATTATCATCAGTCAACCCCAAATACCTTACAGATATTAATTACTTTTGTTTATTCAGCTGTTGTTATTGTTATTTGTATTTTTATTGTGGAGAAAGTAAGGTCAGTCGGGTATTTGTCTTAGTCATGAAAGAACTTCCCGGATCACAAAGAGATTTCTGGTGATTCGTCAGTTATTTGGAATACGGTTTGGTTAGCCAAGGGAGTTTCAATTAAAGGAAATGTGAGTGGTGCCTGAAAGTATGCAATGGTTTTCCAATTTCGTCCTTTGATCTCGATTTTAATGACTATTAATGATTAATGACTTCTCAAACTTTGCCCTCATTCGCGGTGAAAGTTGGGTTTTTGGCCAGCGAAATTAGAAAGCCTATATATTTTCGCTAGTAGGAAAACCCAGAGGCGTATGCTGATAACAAATTCCAGCAAAATACCCAGAAAATAGCCGTAGGATCAACACGAAAACAAGTAAAAAGTACCACTCGATTTTCGGCAATGCGTCAACAGCAAGAACCGAGCAAATCCGAGTCCGGCTATCAATTAATAGTCTTTATGGATCTTTAAAACAACCAATGAATGCGAAGAGATAACAATAAATTTGTTTTTTATTTGTTAAGTGGCATTAACCTCTGCTCTAGAATTTTCGGCACACCATCTGTTGGGCGGGCTCCTGGCAACATTCGAGCCGAGCTAAGCCTCTATTTGTACGATTGTTATAAGTATTGAATATATACTATATATTCAGGGGGATTGGATCGTATATAGGCAAATCTGCTATTGATAATTCCCGGGCGATAATCGTGTGTAGCTCTTGCTTTTGTTATTGTTTTTTTCGTTTGAGACGTACGTACGAACGCAGGAGATTACATAGCGGCAGGAGGTGGTCGTAGAGGAGGAGGATGGAGAGTACAAATCTCCAGAAATTGTGGTGTCAGCAGTATCATCAGCGGGCGCAATCATTCAGTTGGAATTGTGATCTGAGGTAGAGCGTGTGGGATCTTGGAATCTACTCATCGAGCGGTTAATTGAAATACTTACAAAATACTAAAGCAGCGTTCAGCTATCAGTTATCAGCGCGTTCGATCTAATACAGCGTAATTCATTTAAATCAATCACAAAAAGTTAGTTACACGGTAGTTTTCCATGCCCTTCAACATGCGGGACTGATGCATTTTCCTTCCCATTTCCCCTTTGCTTATCACAGGTCAATCAGAGCAAATCGAAAATGGCCCTGTCCAAGATCGATGCGGAGATCGAGCAGGTCGATCAGGAGAAGTATCTGCGCCAGGCCACCAACTACTATCAGGCCCTGGAGAAGCCCCTCAAGTATGGGCCCGTCATTGAGACGATGGACCAACTGATTACGGCCCTGCATCGCGAGTTCGAGTCGAACTACGTGAACATCGAGATGGTCAATCACCTGATGCTCTCCTACAAGTCGAACCCCAAGGAGTGGCGCAAATACGCCAAGTTTGACCGTTACACCTACACCCGCAACCTGGTCGACGCCGGCAACGGCAAGTTCAACCTCCTGATCCTATGCTGGGGTGAGGGTCACGGCTCCTCAGTGCACGACCATGCCGACTCCCACTGCTTCATGAAAATGCTGAAGGGGGATCTACGCGAGAAGCGCTACGAGTACCCCAATCGCCCCAACAACACGGTCAGCAAGAACACCAGCCATCCGCATAGTCACGAGGGGGATATCGACACTCGGGAGCTGGTCGAGATCGGCGAGACGCCGATTGGCGTCAACGATGTGGCCTACATTAATGGTGGGTAGCAGCAGATTTAGGATTCCTTTGACCACACTTTACTTATGGTTTGATTCGCTTTGTTCCTTCCGCAGATAATTTGGGCCTGCATCGTGTGGAGAATCCAAGTCATGCCGACACCTCCGTTTCCCTGCACCTCTATTGTCCACCCTTCGACACGTGCTCCGTTTTCCAGGACAACTGCAAAAAGACCACCGCCAAGGTCACGTTCTGGAGCAAGTACGGCGTCCGGACAAAACTGAATGAGCAATAGATCAGCTTGAATCTGATTGCACATCCGCATTCCCCCAAATACAGTTGTATATTGTTGTATATTGCTAAGAATCTTTATTATTAGATGTTTAGTGTGTGAGGGCCCTAATAGCGAGTGAAAGCTTTGAACTAGGCCACGTAAGCGCTCACTTGAGAGGCTAGAAGAGCAGATCAGAGCTCTCTCCTAAGCTGGAACTTGGAGCTTTCACTTTTTCCTGAGAGTGTTTCCTTAATGTACCTATCTTTAGTGTAAGCTATACCAAATGTTCAATATATAAGTGACTAATTGACAATCCTTTAGTGGCGTATCAGTTTCGTCGGGAAAGCTAAGCATCTTGGCTCCGGGTAGTCAAGTTCGATCTCTTTGGCGGACCACGGTCCAGGGTCTGACGGATCGACTTGAGAAGTCCCGGCAACAGGTTGATGTACTTGTCTACACAGTTCCCGGTGCAGTGCTCGAACAGATGCTGCGATCGGGACATGTCCTTGTCATTGGGATTATTCGGCAATCGCGAGCGAACATCGCTATTGCAATCCTACGGAATACCTGAGCTGATAAGACTGATATCATTTGGGTATAGAAACCATTCTTGTACCTTCACACAGTTCTGTAAACGGTTCTGGAACTGACCAAGCTCATGCTGCAGATAGTCCTGGGCATCCATCAAGGGTCCTGCGCATTTCTCAATGCAGTTCTGCACACTCTCCAGCGTTCCGCGCTCGTCGTCGCAGCAACGGGAAGCGCACCGATGCATTTTGGCCTTGTATATTCAGAGTTCACAGTAGGTTTCTGCTAGATGGAGGCTGCACTCACCTGCATACGACGCAAGTGGGTGCGGTACATGTCCTCAATCATGTCGCTAAGAGCGACCTCCAGGCGCTTCCTCTGCTGTTCCACCATTGTGATAGCCGAAAATGTTACAATTTTGAATTATATATGTACAGATTTAACGACAAAATTTTTGAATGTGTTCTGTTTATCTGACAGGATTTGATGTATTTTTCTTAAAGTGACTGAAAGAGGTAACATGAATTTTGCCTATAAAAATGTAAAGAGTTTGTAATGTAAAATTTTTGAATTTATAGACACTATAATATTTAGTCAATTGTAAAAAACTCAACAACTAGTAATAGGAAATGTAATAAATGCAACCAGCTCCTAGCGACTTAAACTTGTGGTATGGCCTCAGGTCCCTTGGACAGAACTTTCTTCATAGTTTTCATCATGCTGGGTATGAGACCCACATGCTTGTCCACACATTGGATGGCACAGCGCTCGAACTGATCCGTGTACTTGGCGATTTGTTCCTCACTGGGACTAGGGGGCATTTTAACTTTGACATCATCGTTACATTGCTGTTGAAAGAGAATAACATGAATATATGGTTTGCTTAAGTAGGCACGTTGGGAGTTACCATGACGCAACGCTGCAGCCTGCCCTGAAATTCGCCAAGCTCGTGCTGGACATAGTTCTGGGCCCGTGTCATGGGAGTCGAGCAGCGGTCCACACATCGCTGTACACTGTCTACGCTGGAGGTGTCATCTTGGCAGCATTTCGCCGCACACAGGTGCATTTCGTTCTGTTGGAGAGGGGGGCACAATGTCGTTACTTAGGTCAGTTTTCACTGGGCTGGCACTCATACCTGCATTTTGCGAAGGTGTGTCTTGTCCATGTCGTCGATCATCTCCGTCACGGCGGACTCAATGCGTTGGCGCTGCTGCTGGATCATCATTAAAGTTATTTTATTAGTTCTAACAATTGATTTCGTAATAAATAAAAAGGCCGGCGCACGGACAGCGTGTTTTGTAATTTTAGAGATGCGCCTTCAAGTGCGATAACACCAATCGATACCACGTGTATCGACTGCTCAGCTGTTCTGTTTTCCATTTTCATAGCTTTTTTCAGAAAAATAATAATAGTCAATTAAAACGATGTCTCTGCTGCACAAAATTGGACGAGTCGCGCTTCAGACACACTCCTTCGCGTCCAGGCACCAGCTGTCGGTGGCCACACGTGCCTTTAGCAATGAAATAACCCAGGCTGGACCTGCATCCTCCGAGGATCATCCGGAAAGCAGCAGCAAAGGTGGCTTTGCCCGTGCCTTTGACAAATACACAGCTCCAGCGACGCCAGAGCAGCCGCAGTTGGACAATCAAACGTTTGCCTCCATGCTGCGCAACTCCAAGTTCGTGGATGTAAGTAGACTCCAGGCATCCGCCGGGTTTATGTAATAACCTATTAATTAAACAGCTGGGCAGTGCCGAAGGCAAGGTGGTAAGCGGCAAGATCTTTCACGTCGTGGAGGATGATCTGTACATAGATTTCGGCTGGAAGTTCCACTGTGTGTGCTCGCGACCCACTCGCAATGGCAGGTAAGTGCAGGGGACTTTAACTTATTCATTTCAAAATGATAAACCTGGAACCCAATCTGTTTTCAGTGACTATGTGCGTGGTTCGCGCGTCCGCTTACGTGTCAAGGATCTGGAGCTGTCCACCAGGTTCCTCGGATCATCCAAGGACATAACCATCCTGGAAGCAGACTGCCAACTGCTGGGTCTGATATCCACTCCCACTAGACAGGGAGCATCCAGAGCAGCGCCCAAAATTGATAATATTCTATAGAATTTATTCTAAAAAATGTAGAGTGCATTAAACAAAGTGTTTGTTAAGTTAAACTCCCGTCTGTGGTGAATTGGAACACTTCGTAGTGATGGTTGAGCTCCTTGACAGCGTGCAGCTGGAATCGTGTGACCAGTGCGCCGTTGTCTGATGGCCGCAGGAAGAATATGCGCTTGGCCCGGCTGTGCACAAAGGCCATGGAGCACATGAGGCAGGGCTCTTGTAGAAGATACACATCGTAGCCTGTACAGAGGTACGGTCCGTACTTGGTCAGATTATCGGCACCTTGTGAGTGGTCTGCATTCAACAACACTTGCTGCTGCGGCTGACACTTTCTGGACACCTCTGCTCCGAATTTGAGGTCCTGGTAAGCCTCGTTCTTTTTCAAGTAGTCGTAGTATGCTTTGGGCAGCCCTCGCAACGTTGTTTCGGCCTTCTCTTCGTCCTCGACAAAGCTGAGGTCGCTCTTCAGTGCACCTCCCTGCTGACTGCGCGCCACGAAATCCACCAGCAGCATGCTGCAATGTTCATGTCCGTGGGCGCTGTAGGATTCGCTGGCACCAGCGATAGATACTATGCTGGACTGGCGCGGATCCACACAGATGCCCACTGGCTTGTCCTTATTCACATCCCTGGACAGCCTAGCCAACAGTTGCGCCATGCGCTTATGGAATATGCGCTGACTGATCGAGAAGTTGCTGCCATTTCGCAGCGATTCCGAGTAGTGGTTCGGATGGAACTTACAGGGCCAGTGCTGGATCATCTGTTCGTATTGGACACGCAGCTTGGGCATGCGGGCCGGCACCTCGACGACCTTCACCTGATGGCAGAGGGCCCGCAGTACATTTGCGGAGAAGGCGTACCGCTGCAGATGCTCCTCCAAGGTCTCCGCATCTCCAATGTCCGACGTTGGGCAGATGAGTACATTGCGGTCGTGGACGCGCTTCAAATGCTGCAAGCGGGGCAGCTTCTGGGACAGCTCCTGGATGACGGACTGCAGTTGCTGTTTCGTCTCCAGCTGACAACTGTGGACTTTGATGAGGGCTATCTCATTGTATTCATCGGATAAAACGGCTCTGATTCCTACGCTATCTTCATTGTCGGTGGGGCTCTGCCTGTTGCGTTTAACAGGTGGTGGGGATCCACATGCGTCCATTATTTATCAAATATTTCCCTCCATTTAACCTAACTGAAGATATCTGCTTGTCAGGATTGGTTACTCTCTCTTGTCGTAAGGGCCGCCCGAATATGTGAAGGGGGAAATTGCCAAGTCAGAGAACAGTAGATTTTGGAGTACTTGTTATAGTTTTATAGTTGATGAAAACTATTAGATTAATTTAGTTTGGTACACGCTGTTGTTTTCTTTGTAAAAAAAAACGAACTTAGCCCCCTAAAACCCCATTTATTTAATTAGTTGAACACCTTAAGCGAAACAGCGACATATAGTACTGGTTATACACTTTTTTTGTAGATCCATTCTGTTCTTTCTTTTAACTTGCTAAAAACCCCAAGATATCTTTTAGCGAAACTGTGCAACAAATCTTAAAGATTTATGCTTTTTCCTTGAGTGTATTTAAAAACCCCCTGGTCGACAATGGGTTAATCGTTCTCTGTACAATATTCCTCGATTTTGATATTCGGAAGGACCCTCATCCCTGAAACGTTCATTTGTCAACCGGAGTATGGCCATTTATATACCCCATTTCATTAATTAAAATGAAGATACTGTTTTCAAAGCTTTTTAAAGCAATTTTATCAAATTATCCGCATCCCGATACCAATTCTTGGTCTCTATAAGAGGACAATAAAATGCAAAATATCGTTGAAATAGATTTAAAAGAGAGACTGACTAGTTTCTTTATATATTGGCGCCTTAGATGACAAACATTTCCTCAATTCTATAATATCCATGTCCCCAGGGTATGCAGAATGTTGCTCGATCCGCTCCATGTTGAGAGAGTGCTGACGATTTCTCTCCATACAAATTGTTGCTGCCAGCAACATAAAATGTAAGAAAACGTAAGTGAGTGAGTATAGAATGTACGGACATTGTTGCGCTGAAAAATCCCACCACGAAAAGTGGATTTCCCACCACGAAAAAGAGAACAAACCCCAAAAAAGAGAGAAAATCCCAAGAAACGGCTATCGATACTGGATATCGACTATCGACTGGATACGAGAATTCGCGCCAAATAAACAATTTTTCAAAATGAATAAGTGACAAGGACATGGAAAGCAAATTTAATAGATTTATGAATGTATTCTTGTCTATGCTTTAGAGTTACCCTATTTTCTGCTTTTTATCTAAGAAACCTGATCTATCATTCAGGAAAGCAGCGCTTGAATTCCCGTCTGCGAATGACCCGTTTTCAGCGTTTGTGAGATTTGTGACACAAAAAAATGTGCCTTTAGATTATACTCAAACACAAGTGGAAATTTATTCTGTAATTTCTTGAAAAATGATTTTTTTAGGTTCATTCTTCTGTTTGCTGTCCCTCTACTTTGGATGCCTTATAATTGGCGTTACAGGGCTGATCATTGGAGTCGCGAGTCTTACTCTTGCAGTGTGTAAGCTTATTCTCCATGCTAAACAAGAAGAGGTTTGGATGATGGCCCTTATTTTCTCGTTGTTGTATTTGGGCGCGAAGATGTTTTTGTTAATGGGAACGATGTGGGTGAGTTTATACGTATTTCAAATATGAATATCTTTGATTGGCAAACCATTAACCGCAGAACTTGGCCTGGTGCCTTATCATGTCCTTCATTGCCAGCGCAGTTTGTGTTTGTCTGATCTTGGCCATATTAATTGTCGGCTTTGCCAGTAGTGCGAACCGTGTACAACTCATGGTCTGGATTACTATGATTCTTCGTAAGTCCGATCGAGTTCCTCTGCTCTGATAATAATACGTTTCCCCCGCAGTGGAGACATACTATTTGTTGGTAATAATATCGCATTGGTACAACATATGGTCGGGCGTTCAGCGAGTTGAGCTCTAACATTTCCAACATTCTTTTTCAAAATTTATATATGAAATTTTATCTTGAATTGACTATGAAATACATACCTGCCACGAGACAGACGTATTCTCGCTAAATTGAAGTAAAATGTACATATATGTATGTTTTATGCTTACTTTGCTGCCAAGATGAGATGGCATGATAGGCAAAAGGCCATATTTGTGTTTGTAGATGTCTTCAGCCAGGTCTCCCGGCCATTGTTCAAAGAACTGAGCCACTATTTGTGACAAACACACACAACCATATATATCTCTCTCTCAATGCATGCTTTTCCCTTAAGACTGTCTTGGTTTTTGCAGCTAGTCAGTTAGCAAAGTCAAATGTCACAAGGCTAATAACAAATATGTACATTTCTGAATCTATAATCTGCTGCAGTTGTTCCTTATGGTGGGTTAGATAGACGGGCTGGACTCCGTTTGATTGGACTCTTGAAAATTTAAAATTTACAAAAGTTGCAAGGCTTTCTATTTAATATATCGATACAATGGTGCGATAAATTTGATCGAACCTTAAAAGCTATGAGCGTAAAATTGTATCGAACCTAACAAATGTATCGCGCATACTTTGTCAACATGTTGCTACGTTGTGTACACATGTGGCCGAGCAACATTCCAAGTTGCCGCCCCAATGTATCTCACAAATTTTTCTGCCGCGAACAATGAAGCAACAGATTGTCGCTCCAAAAAATTTCGACTTTTGAATTGCGCGCGTAGAGCGATCGTGCCGGTGCAGTTTCCATATTGCGCAAAAATGCATTCTTCAATCTTTGCAGACACAGCTCGAGACCTCTCCGGCTCGGCCTAGAGTTTTGGAGTCGTTCAAGGCGTATGCGTGCGTTCTCCCCCGTGTGTGTGTGTGTTTTATTTTCGTCAATTAGAAGTAACGGTTGCACGGGAGAAACTGGAAAATCAACGAAGCGCGCCCGCCAGCCCGCCCGGCCCCAACGCAGAGTGCACACCAAGATACATTTGTATCTGTAATTTGTGAATTTTCGGTTTTCTTTATTTCGTTTCGTTCCGTTTCGTTGTTTCGGTGTTGCTTTGCGCAACAAGTGTGTGCCTCGCCCGCCTCCCAACACGAAGCGAAGGCAAGACGAAGAATAATGATCAATTTAATTCAATCAGCGATCCCATCAACCTGCAGCGAGCCCATCCAAACCAAAACCAAACAGATCCGATCCCATCCGATCCTCGTGTGTGGCAAGTGTAGGAGAATCTAACGAATAGGTGGCTGCCAGTGCAAACAAATAGAATCGAGCAAACAGCAAATACCAACAATACCAACAATACCAACGCGTTTTGTGAGCCGGTTTAGTCATTCGCGAGTTCCGAGAATCCCACTGGCTGGCGAAAAACGTAACTTTTCGAGATACATTCCCAGCCAGAACAGCTGTTGTTGGCTTTGAGCGCTGCTTACTTGTCTGCCACTTACCCTGAAGCTCCGTGTAGCCAGGTGATAAGATAGCTCCGCTCGGTTTAGCGATTGGAACGAAATACCAACAAAACGGGCCAAGAAAAATTGCACAGTTTGCGATGTGTCTAAAGTAAAACTCGCAGCATTATCTTATCGGCTGACCATTGATTGGGCTTTGCCTTTTCCGCTCCATTCGGTTCAGTTCGGGTCGGTATTCGCAGCGTTCTAGGTGAAGTGAAGTGAAGTCATTTGCGCAGCCATATTAGACCAGCCCGCGGACTGTGGGGTGCTTCGACAAGGCCTTTAGTCAGCGCCAGTCTAGATACAATATCTATATCCCATATCTACGGGAATATCTAATGCCGCCAGTGCAAAGTGCTGCAAGGAGAAGCAACCAACAGAGAAAAAACCATTCCCAGTGCCAGTGCCAGTGCTAGTTGCTCTGCAATCTTTGTCTAAATTTAGACAAAGCCAGAGCCAACCTAACCAAACGTAACCAAACCAATCCAAACTGAAGTGAGCTGAACAAGGCCTTCTGGCCATATACGATTGTAAATCAAGTATTTGGCCCCCAGAAGGAGAAGCGAAGCTGCGGAAGAAAGCCCGAGCATACCAGGATGGACATAGAATCGGATTCAGACACCTCCGAGAGATGGGAGGACTTTTTTGGTAAGCGGGAGGGATCACTGAACCTTCTTTTAGCGGATGGCGATGTCCGATGGCCGATGACTCAACTGGGGCCCAAGGAGTTGGGGGCGGGGAGGGGGCTCTACGCATTCCTGTAGCGCCTCGACGTCTTCTTTGCCCGAATATGGACATGCGTATAAGAAGACACCATCAGAGTTTGGCTTCTTTGGCCACCGCTGGACGGTACAGGACGGGCCACTGCATTTGGGTTCTGTTCTCGGGGTCTGCACGTTCCGTTCCCATAACTGTACACGATTCCCTACCATACCATGCCATTCCAGCCCCCCTAAGTGGGGGACCATTGCGTGAATTGTGGCTCGCAGTTTCGCAGTTTTTGGAGTTTCGCTTGGGTTCGGTGTAACGGGTTCGCTTTGTTTCTGCATTTTCTGCTTTTCGACATTATTTAAGCGCTCGAAATGTCGGTTGTAATGAAATTTAATGATAATACATAATTTCAGGCTTTTGACCCAAATTACAATTGTGCTCAGGGGGGGCAGCGGGGAACCGCCAACGGGTAGGGTACGGGTTGGATTGGAGAAAATAAGGTCTTGTTGCTTTGCATGAGATTTGCAATTTATGCTCTTGGGTGGTGTGTGGCACCATAGCGATACAACAAACAGTTTGTTGACCCACTTTACATATTATTTTGATTTGCTTTTGATCGTGTATTGGAATGCTGTGGCACCATTTACATTTGATATATCCGTTACGAAGGCTAGTGTATGTACATATCTTGCATAAGAGTAGAAAGAAGTTCAGATCTCAGGATCAACAGTCTATGAAACAGTCAAGAAGAGAATTGTCAAAATTAGCTACAACTAAAATCTTCTCATAAATAAATTAATACTATTACCAGTCAGAATAAACTGATTCTAAACTTTTCATAATATTGCTTAGGTCTGAGTAGTCGGGTATAGCATAGTCGCCGATCTCGTAGCACTATGGAAGGGCAAATGCAAAGCTTTCGTTCAATTAGTGCATTAGTCATAAGTGTTCTCCGGGTGAGTGTGTTTTCCATTGACTTTGTTTTTTATTATTGCACGTTTGCTTTTGTTAGCAGAGCTATGTTAGATAACAGCCTGCGAGGCAGTTTAACAGCGAAGCTTGCATGGCGCTAACAGAGCCATTCATGATTGATCGTGCCTATATCAATTATATATTCATGTATAGTGCAAATGAATCATGATTCGGATCGTACGGAGGGCTTGGAAATTGTCAGTATATCGTTTCCGCGCTACAGTTACAGTTCTCCCAGATAATGACCACTTATGTAAGGGCCTGACATTTCGTTTATTTAAACATTCTGGCGTGTTGGCTGTCGAAAAGTCAAACGTGACGACACTCTCCTCTCCTCAACAAGGGGTTCGGTTCACTCCCGATGCCTTATAAATAGTAGAACCCGTTGGAAGATATCGCCAGCAGTTGACCGCATGTGGTATCAAATGTCACCAAGTCTGGCCCTCTGTTTGTTTGCCTCTTCAATTTTCACTGGCACTCGAAAAACAAACACACTCGTGTACTCCTTAAAGAGGAAGACACTCTTCGTCTGTTGCTGTAGATACAAGTGCAGGGGGGCAGGTCAAGTCTTTGAGTTTGAGTTACCTTTCATAACCCATAGCCCAACAAGAGGTAGGAGGCAACCACAAGCAGCGGCACCACGGGAGTCGCCGTCGCCGTCGCCATCGCCATCGTCATTGCAATCGGAGTCGGAGTTCATTCGATATTGTTATTGATTGTGATCTGAAGAAACCTTTTTTGGGCTCTGCGGCTTGTGTCCGTCCCCCCTTCCCCGTCACGTTTTTCATGTGACATTTATTCGGTTGGGGGTTTTCTTTCATCTTTTATTTATTTAGAAATAGACACACTGCCAACAGCAAATATAACAACTAATAGATATTGATAGTGCGGTAGGGGCAGCCACATGGGCTGATAAGATTTCCCATACACTATTGACTTTTTGATAGTGCCGCCGACAAGGCCAGAGATCTGGTATGCGACTCGACTCCAAATTGAAATTAACATTACTCTGGCGGTTAAGAGGTCAGTTTCGCATTGCTCCACTTCCGCCCGGGGACCAGAGTAGGGAGCCACAGATGCCGACGCGTCGGTTCTGCCGGTGCCAAAGAGCAGCCGATCTTAATTAAGGCAATTGACAAAAGTTCAACAAATTGAGCCAAAAGAGTTCGGTGTCATAATCGAGAAGAGTTCATTGGCCAAGTGGATACAAGGGTATTAGCTCACCCTCACGCCTGCGGCGCATATTCCCTCTCTAATTGCGGCTGTCGGGGTTACCCCCCACCTCTACCTACTTACCCAGAGGTGGATGCAGTTGTGGACCCAAAGCCGGAGTCAGAGCCAGAGGCAGAGCTAGAGCCAGAACCAGAGCCAGACCATGCCAGTGCTCTGAGCCGTGTGTGTGGGCCGTAAGTCGGCGTTTGTTGACGTCTGCTGATGTCTGTAAGCCCTGTCTGCCGGGCGTCCCGCCGCCAGCCAGACAGCCACTCGCCGATCGAGTGTTCTCTAATTGCATTTCTCTCAGTGCACTCAGTGCCGCAGACGCTTTCCGTGTGGGCGTTGCGGAAGGTCGTAAAATCTGAGTATTGTGCACGCACGTCGCAAAAGGTTTTTCTCAATGAAGCTTAGCGTCTGGCTTTCGATCTCTGCATACTCTACCCCCAAAAAGGGTGCATTAGATATCCCATGGCATTCGGCAGATGGCTAGCCATATCTGTAGAGTACGTGTGGCTATACTTCGAGTGCAATTTAATATTTTCTACGCAAATCATCTTTTGAAAGGGTATTTGAGATCTGCTTCCTGCTTGGTACATCTCACATTTCTCGTTCTTTAATGCCGCTGTGGGGACTCTGGCTTTAATGAACGTTTTTTGCGGCATGGCCTGTGACTCGCCAGCCCGCTCACAATTCTATTTGGCAGCAAATTTATAACTTCCTTGC